TGTTTATTTTTTTAAGAATGAAAACGAGGCATTGAGGGATATATGTCTGTTCAAGTATGCTTTTAATGTCTTATATTAAAACATATTAAAATTCTATAAAATAACCAATAAATGGCCTATATTAAAATTCTATACTAATTTTGTTGAACTTTAAATTTATGCATCACAATATTATATTGTGGATATTTACTCTCAGATTTGCTTAAGATTACATTTAAAAGTGATATTAAAGTATTATTAAGATAACTTTAAGAGAGTTTTAGATGACTGAAAAAATCATCTAAATATAAAAATGAAAGAAATGATCATGCACAGTGTTTTGTTGGCTGAACATTCGACACCAAGGTACACAGATGGTAGTACAACAGATGGAATGAACTGTACTTCTATGCCTCACTACCTTGTTTTTCTTCACATCAAATTGAATAAGTTGTCCACCCTTAAAAAGGACATTTATTTGAGCTACATGTCCAACAAAGGCCCATTAAATGTTAATAACCTCTCCGGTGTCATTTCAGAGCTGATCCAGACGGAGCTCCATCACGTTCGGACGCTGCGGATCATGGATGGTGTGTTCAGGCGGGGTATGCTGGAGGAGGTGCAGCTGGAGCTGGGGGTTGTGCATGCACTGTTCCCCTGCCTGGAGCGACTGTTGATGCTTCACACGCACTTCCTCACACAGCTCCTCGAACGACGCGCTCAAAGCCTGCAACCTGACAGCACAAACAATTTCACCATCACTCAGATCAGCGATTTGCTAATACAACAGGTAGGAGTGCGATTGTTAGTTAAGGTGGACGGAACAGGGAATAAATGCATTTGGTTACATTTGGCCTGCCTTAAGTGATTTTGGATGAATGTGTCTGTTTTAATTGCCAGTTTAAAATGTGTCATACAAATTAGAGCTTTCAATTAAATGCATTAATGTAAAAAAATAAACATTCATGGAACAGTGCAACAAATTGGAATGGGTCTGTTTTTGAAACACTTTACTTTAAACAGATTTCATTGCAAATACATGGTTTTGAATGAGAAAAGCATAATGTCATGATGTAGAGGCAGTGAAAAGTCTTAGAAAGAAAAAGTGACAAATGGAAATTGAAACGTCATTCTCTCCGATTTAAAATGTGTCATACAAATTAGAGCTTTCAATTAAATGCATTAATGTAAAAAAATAAACATTCATGGAACAGTGCAACAAATTGGAATGGGTCTGTTTTTGAAACACTTTACTTTAAACAGATTTCATTGCAAATACATGGTTTTGAATGAGAAAAGCATAATGTCATGATGTAGAGGCAGTGAAAAATCTTAAAAAGAAAGAAAAAGTGACAAATGGAAATTGAAACGTCATTCTCTCCGGGTGTATGAGAGTGGGAGGCTGAAAGCTTTCAGGTTTCAAGGAGCAAAATGTTCACAGTGCACTGTCTTTGTGTGTACGTCAGTTCTCAGGTCAGAGCGCTGACGAGATGCTGAAGGCGTATTCTGAGTTCTGCAGTCGTCATATGAAGGCCGTCAAACTCTACAAAGAGCTGCTGGCCAGAGACAAGAGACTGCAGCTCTTTATACGGGTAAGAACGAGAGAGACCGACGAGGGTGTTTGCCGTCCGGGTGCGTTTTGTGTTTGCATAACCGGGTCAGGTGTTGTCTTGTGTGTGGGAGGACAGAGTGGTACTGAGTGATGAATGATGGTGGGCGGGTAGATTAATGGTTTAAATGCCTGCAAACTGATGAAGATGTGTGAATCATCAGATTTCCAGGTATCATGATAGTGTTTGGCACTTGTGCATTATTTTAGTTGTAATAGCTTAGTATGGGGCTGTTACAATAACAAAACCAGTGAAATGTCATGATTATCGATACCAAAGCAAAACGCATATGCTATTGAATGCACTACTTTTATTAAAAAGTTAAATATTGTCAGAGCAGTGGTGTGGAAGGTGACCCAGGGTCGTGTGTGCACTTTCTTTTTAAAATCTTGGCTTTCCTATTTAATAAAGACAAAAAGGCAAGTTTTAAATATTAATAATTTAGGGATACACCAGCAGAAAACCTATGTCCAATTCTTGTCAGTGCCTGATATGATTAACTTCTCTCCGATATTGGTAAATGATTTCAGCATAAAAGGCTATTTTCTTGGCAAAACAAAATTACTTTAAAAGATTCTGACCAAAATTAAATTGTATACTATATTGTATATTGCTATATTATTTATGTATTTATTAAATATTACTATATTATTTATTATATATTACTAAAAAATGCTAAAACATTTTGTCTGATACTATTAAATAATTTTATAAATTGATAACATATTATTCATTTTATGTCAGTGCCTGATATGATTAACTTCTCTCCGATATTGGTAAATGATTTCAGCATAAAAGGCTATTTTCTTGGCAAAACAAAATTACTTTAAAAGATTCTGACCAAAATTAAATTGTATACTATATTGTATATTGCTATATTATTTATATATTTATTAAATATTACTATATTATTTATTATATATTACTAAAAAATGTTAAAACATTTTGTCTGATACTATTAAATAATTTTATAAATTGATAACATTATTCATTTTAATAGTATTTATTTATTTATTTATTTTTACATTTGTTTTCTTACCATGTCAGCATCAAAGGCTATTTTCATGGCAAGATCAAAGTATTTTAAAACAAAAAAATGCTGGCTAAAATGAAAATGTGTACAATATTAAATATTGTCTAAATATAAAATAATCACAAATAAATGTAAATTTGCTTTAAAAGGTACAAGTGAATTTAGGCATTACAACATTAGAATGTACAGTATAAAAAAATGGATGTTCACTTGAAAAGTTTTCGGTTACACTTTATTTTAGGGTGTCCTTGTTACAGTGTAATTATACATTTAAGTACTGAGTAATATTAATTAACTACACGTACTTACTATATGTGACCCTGGACCACAAAACCAGTCATAAGTGTCAATTTTTCGAACCATGGACCATGGACCACAAAACCAGTCATAAGTGTCAATTTTTCGAAATTGAGATTTATACATGATCTGAATAAATAAGTTTTCCATTGATGTATGGTTTGTTAGGATATGACAATATTTGGCTGAGATACAACTATTTGAAAATCTGCAATCTGAGGGTGCAAAACAAATCTAAACATTGAGAAAGTCGCCTTTAAAGTTGTCCAAATGAAGTTCTCTTAGGGTTACTTGCATGTCATTTATTGTTATTATAATAGTAAGTACATGTAACGTGTAACAAGGACACTGTAAAATAAAGTGTTACCAAGTTTTCAAGTATTTTTACAAAATGTTGTTACAGATTTACAGAATTCTACTTAGAAATTAATATTTTAGTCATTAAATATTTGCTTGGTTAGCTTTAAGCTCACATAAATTAGTTCTAGCTCATTAGACATGACGTTATGGTATCTGTCTAAAATCAGTTTCCTGAGCAGGTGCCTTCATACACAAATCTGGCTGACCGGGCATAACAGCTGCTGTAGATTTTGGACACAACTTTAAACTGTGTGTGTAGAAATATAGCACACAGAGGCAGAAACCGTTAACAGTCCATTTGCAATTGTCTTTGTCGCTCTCAGAGGGTGAGTCGGGGTCCTCTACTGCGTCGTCACGGTTTCCAGGAGTGCATCCTATTGGTCACTCAGCGCATCACGAAATACCCCGTCCTGTTGCAATGTATCTATGATAACACCAAAGGTAAGACACAAGCATATAAATGTCGCCAGTGTCAATAATGACTGTATTTAAACAGCTGCTCACCTCCGGCCTTCCTCCCATGGTCTATAACTTATTTAAGGGGGTCTGAATACTTTCCGTACCCACTGTATGTATTATATACACGTGTCATAAAATGCCCCTGGTTATGGACTTTGTAGACTGACTATTGTATGTAACAATGCAGACAATCCAGAGGAAGCTGCAGGTCTGTCTCAGGCGCTGTCTTGTATACGGGAGCTGCTCTGTTCGGTGGACCAGCAGGTGTTGGAGCTTGAAAGGACACAGCGGCTGCAAGAGATCCGATCCAGGGTCGACCCGCGGGCCGAGGCCAAACTCCGCTCTGGAGCCCTGTTCAGACCGGCCGAACTGCTCCGCAGGCAGCTGATACACGAAGGCACGCTGCTCTGGAAAACGCCCAGCTCTCGCCTCAAAGGTAGTGAAGACTGAGGCTGTTTATGAGGAAGTGTGATGTGATACATGTCTGTGTGAGAGGGAGAGAGACACACGTGCTATTGTATTAGCTGACATGTAATGTGCTCTGGGTGTTTGAATGTACAGAATTTCCCGTTTTCTTTGTGTTCTAGATGTTCAGGTTATGCTGATGACTGATAGTCTAGTATTCTTGCAAGAGAAAGATCAACGGTTCATCTTTGCCAGTTTGGTAAGTTACTTTGCAATTAAGTATTTAACTTTTCCATGAAACTGTGATACTGTGAAGCGATTCGTTTGTGAAAATCTGTACAACACTATCTCTTTTCTTCTCATTCTCTCTGTAGGATAAATCTGCTGTGGTCTCACTGCAGAGTCTCTTGGTCCGAGACATAGCCAATCAGGAGCGAGGCTTGTTCCTGATCAGCAGTGAGTCTAGCCCACCTGAAATGTACGAGCTCTATGCGGCATCTAAAGATGACAGAAACACCTGGATACGGCTCATACAGCAAACCATCAGCAGGTACATGCATGCAAATACATCAGTCCACACAGCACTCGAAGCTGCCGTTTGACTTTTTAGGCATCTCTGTTTTTGCAGTTGAATGGAAAATCCCATGAAAGCTCTTTTCTGTATTGTTCCTTTGTATTTTCTTTTGAATCAGGACGTTTCGAAGGGATATGTCAGTTCTGTGGGAAGCTTGACTTGCCAATAGCCTTTGTTTACATTACAGCTCAGCAAAAACAAACTTGACAGCTTGCAAGCGACTCCTTCCCAAAAATATAGAAAAGATACCATTTATACCATGTTGAAAAAATTGTAAGAGTGATATTACAGAGGCAATAATGTCAAATTCAGTATTTATTTATTTATTTATTTATTAGTAAGTACTATTATTATTATTATTATTATTATTATTATTATTATTATATTTATAATTATACTGAATAATTTAATAATAGTTATTAATAGTAGTAATTGTTATTTTATTATTCATATTAATAATAATAATAATAATAATGTGCTATTATATTATTCATATCATTATTTTTAAAAAATATTATTACTCAACATTTTTTTTGCTAATACCCCCTTGCTGCCCCCTGGGAGTCCCCGGACTGCAGCTTTAAAACCCCCTGGTATACGGTGACACTTTCAAAATGAATAAACTTCCTTCAGAAAAAAATAAATTAGCAAAGAAAGTACAAGCATTGGCAATATTTTCAGTTTCATTCAAAAACTGTATAGAGTGACTTATACTTTTGGTCTATTTTCCCAGAAAACATTTAAAATTTGTACTTGTTAAAAGCAGGGACACGAGTGTATAAATGACTGCAATGTTAATTGACATCCACTAAAATGCACTAATCTACCATTTCTAATGGTCATTCTCATTTACCGTCATTGTTTTGTCACACAGCTGTCCATCAAGAGAAGAATTCCCTCTGATAGAAACAGAGGACAAGGCCCTTCTGCGAAGACTCAGAGGTTTGCTTTAAACACTTAACGCACACACATTCACACTCCCAACACTGGGACAAACACGTTTTCATTCAGATTGTTTTTCAAAAGATGAATCACTACAGTGTGTTAAGCATTGAAGGATTAAAAGAAGCATTTTAAAAAGCTCAAAAGAGCTCTTTCACCCATCTGTCAGATCAGTCGGTTACCTATCACAAGATATTTTTTCAAAACAAATGAGCTAGCTAGTAAAAAAACAAGTTGTCTTGACATACAGATTTTTATGTGTTTTGACATCTTTACACAGAATTTGAAGGAGGAACGAAGCCACTATCTTGAGTGTAAAGAAGCTGACGTTAGTGTTTTATTCAAACAAGCACTTTGTTCCTCCTCCTCTGTGTTTCAGCTGATATCCAGCAGAAGGACAGGGAAGTGTTAGAACTGCTTCAGGAGCGGGTCACCCTGTTCTCTGACTTGTCGGAGGTCATGGGAGGTTATGAGGTCATGCTGCCGTCCTGTTCCAGAAACCTGTTCAGAGCCGAGTCTCCGCAGGCGCCTCACGGGGAACAGCTGCTCACACAGGCCATAACTGAGGGTAAGACAGACAGGATGTTACATTCAGGGCTAAAGCAGGGCGTTCCACCTGTATGAGGCTGGTTTCACCCTCTAGTGTATTTATTTCACCGCCCATGTTAATAGGTTAAAGTATTCACACTATGAGTAAGCAGTGCATGACCACAGAAAAGAAGGTTAGAGTCCAAGACTGCTTTTGACATGCGAGTCGATAAGGGGATTTTTGTATTATTTTTTATTTATTCGTTTTTTTTCTTCGAAAAGCACAACTGTAAAAATGTTCAAATATCCAAATAAAAGCTTTGAAGATTCAGCATCTTAGCAATTAATAAATCGGCACAGCATCTGAATAAATAAATGACAGATTTCATTAGTGAAAACAGAAGCATGTTCAAATATATTTCAGACAGTATTTTTAGATATATGTTTAGTTCACAGAGATTAAAAATCTTAAATATCTTGGAAATATTAAAATATATATTTCTAACATTTTAAATTATTGTCTGAAAAATGTTCAGATATCTGTATAAAAGCATTGAGGTTTTGGCATTGTAGCAATTAAAAATGTTTTAAATATATAAAATATTGACCCATTCTCTGAATAAATAAATTAGTTGTTTTTTTAATGTTTGTTTTTAGTTTATGTAGATTAAATATCTTAAAATTAATTTTAAATATATAAATAAAATAATAAAAAATAATAAAGATATTAAAATATAATAAAATTCATACTTGCTGCCAGTATATCTCTGTCTCTTTTTATTTACACAAAAATGTTTTAATTTTTTGGAAAGTTCACAGACCATTTTAGCTAAATCTTCAATAATATCTTGTAAAATGTCATGATGTGCTTTTTCTCGCTCTCTGCAGTGGACAGATTGACAGAGCTGTTATTAGGGTCCAATTTTGAGGTTCCTCTGCCCTGCAGTTCCAACGGCCATCACAACCACACTGGAGCGCTAGTAATCAGTAGGTGTCAAATACACAACACGCGGTATGTAAATGAATGTGCTTTTAGTGTGTCTGATTGGCCAAATATACCTTTTTATCTAACCATTGTGCTTCCTCCATTCTTCTAGATGGACAAGAGGTATTAGTCAATGGCTCTCAGGAGAACCAAACTGCTCAGGTACACAAAACTAACGTTGTTTTGTAAGAAAATATGCTTATATATCTATGTTAGTGAGTTGTTTATCACACTTCTCTGACATCCAGCATTGCCTGCTTCATAAAATGTAATAATTCACATAGTAACATAGTTACTTTACATGACATAACATAGCACATAGTAAGATGGTTCGAGTTTTTATGTAATGCTGAAAAAAAAATAGTCATTTTCCGAGCCCATCTGAAACTCGCAGGTTTCCATAGCAACCTGAATCTACCAAAAACTCTCCATCACGACTCGCCACTGGTGCTTGAATTCTGCGCTTCATCCCCCTTTTCATTGACACATAGCAAGACAGTGCTTTTCAACGTGTGCTGACAAATGAAAGCTTTTTGAATTAATTTGCTGATTCAGAATTTTGATTGTGTGAATAATGCAAAAACTTCCCTATTCTCTACAGGATGGTAATGGGAATCAAATGGAGGACAAGACACCAAGTGAGGTACCGACATTTAGGCTTAATGTGTGCTGTGTAGGGATGTGCCGAGTGTATATCAGCGCATACATATGGGCTGATAATGATAACTGATTATTTAACATTTCGCTTTAGAATTCTTTAAACTGACTAGAGTGACTAGCAAATTAATAAAAACAAAGCACACTTATACACACAATAGCTTGCGATTAAATGCTTAGAATATGGATTTTGCAATACATAAAGACAATGTGAAAAACTTTTGCTTTTAATTTACTGACAAATTAGAAGTTCAAAAGTTTGGGATCAGTAACTTTATTATTATTATCAAATTAATACTTTCATTCAGCAAGGATGCATTAAGTTGATCAAAGACGTTTGTAACTTTACAAAAGATTTTTATTTCAAATAAATGCTGTTCTTTTGAACTGTTCATCAATGAATCCTGAATCTATTCATGAATATCCTTTTTTGCAAAAAAACAAAATTAAACAGCGCTGCACAACTATTTTCAACATTGTTATTATTAATAATAACTGTTTCTTGAGCAACAAATCAGCATATTAGAATGATTTCTGAAGGATCATGTGACACTGAAGAATGGAGTAACGGCTGCTAAAAAATTCAGCTTTGCCATCACAGAAAGAAATTATATTTTAAAATACATTAAAATAGAAAACAGTTATTTTAAATTATAAACCAATGCAAAGCATGGTCCATAACACAAGATTAGGTGAAAGGATCTGCTGTAATTCCATTATTGGTATGAATTAGTTTTTAAATTTTACCGGTTATATGCAAAAAAATATTGCCCTCCACTACACTGTGCATCACTAGCCTCCTATAAATATTACAAGGACACCCAAATTTCCAGGCTTATATGGACTAGTGTGTGTATTTATATATTTAAATTATTATTTTTATTCATATGCATCAAAATGTCTTCAGGAGGTGTCACAGAGGCTGGTGAATCTCAGTGCTCAGTTACACGCTCTGCAGGTATGTGTGCATTGCAAAATACATTTGTCAGATATTCTTCTAAGCACTGACGTCCAAACGGGATCCGAAATGAATTGTCAGTGAGGCCAAAAACTCATCCTCTCCTAGGGTGTGGTGATACGACAGGACTCCATCTTAGAGCTCTGCCGACGAGAGAGCTCCGTCTCCCCAGCCACCGCAGGGGTTCGTACGGTGCGCTCCCTGTCCCGGGATGGAGCAAGTGACGTTGGCTCTCTGGGAGAGCTGGCCCTGCTTCAACGGCAGCACAGTCTGCTGCAGGAGGAGCTGGGACGCCTCAGGGGAGCCGAGGGCAAACTCAGGGACAGCGAGAGAGCCAGAGCCCAGCTGGAGAAACAGCTCAAGGATCTTAAGACCACTAGCGCCGCTCTAGGGGATGGAGCTGGAAGTGCAGGCTCACAGGTGAGTTCATTTTACAGTATTTAGTAAGCTTTTAGTCTAAATCAGAATTTAAATTCATTTTTGCACCCAGAAGCAAAGATTGTCAAACACCACATGACACATACTAAAGTATGCAAGAGCTACAATGTTGTAGCTCCCAAATCTCATTCGCTTCTCATTTTCTCTTTTCAAGGCCCCATCAACTCGCAGAGAGAGCGATGCCGACCCTAATACTGACACCCCATTGGCTAGCCAGGAATCAATGGACCAATCAGATGGCCTGCAGGAATGCAGTGATGTGGAAGTGGATGTGATATCTGATGACGATGAGGACGACGAGGTGGATTCGAGGGTGTCTCCCCGTTCAGAAAGTCCCAGAGGTCTGTAGAATGACACAGAATGACATTATTAGAACCGATATGAATACATATAATTATATGAATATACATACTTATTTTATATATTTTTATACAATTTCATATATATATATATATATATATATATACAGTATATATATATATTATATATATATAATTCAAATAATATGTATGTATTTAAAATTAATATAATAATGTATTAATGTAAATATAATAATATATATTATTATATGGCTATATATCAAATAAATCAGTAAATAATTATACATTAAATATTGAAATTATTATATGAGGGGGAAAAAAAGATACAAGAGATTAGCATAATGTAGGAAACTGGTTGCCAGGGAGTTTGTTGCTCTGATTTTGTTCCTTTTTTATATGAAACGATTACATATTTAACAGACAGTCTGCGTAGATGTGCTTCACCTAAAACGCTGTAAACTTTGGCCCTTTGTAACACTAACAGCAGCCTACACACGATTATGCAACCAATGTGCACAACACACATACACATGGAATTATCATATTAAACCTTCCACACTCACCCACACATACACAAAGGTACACAAACTGTCAAACACACACTAAACTCTGTCAGACAGGAGAACCTCCTTATACATAAATGTAGATTTTTTCAATTTAGTCTATTATTTGTAGGCATGTGTGGTAAAAAATTGGTCAAAAAAATTATATAAATGTATAGCTTTTTTACCCATTGCTTATTTTGAGGACCTGACATGATTGCAGTTCCTAAAGGTTACAGGCCATCTGTCCATTAAAATAATTTACTTTCCAAAGGCAATTTTAACTTGCATTTGGCTTATCAAGTGTTAATCTTGAATAAATTTACAGTACACATTCTAGATATGAATTATATCGTCAGGAAGCAGTTTATTTCATCCAGATCATTTGGTAAAATTCCAAAGCATCTGAACTGAAAACTGCCTCATTTCTGTGTGTAATGTCTAAATACAGTTTAATTTTTCAGTATTCTTTTACTTAATTGTTTTTTCTCTTCATCTTCTACAGATCTGCAGGACATTCCTGAAGAGAGTGAATCCGCTACAGACCCTCGGGACCGTGAGGCCTCACACTGCTAATGTTTTTTCAATTCTCAACCCAAGACTGGCCTGTTGTCTGATGGAACAGACTATAGACTCCATGAGCAGGTCTTCCTCTGAACAGGGAAGGGTCTTCAGTAGTTTATGAATATTCATTTCATTATATACATACAGTATTTAGTTGTATCCAGTAATTTTGCTTACAGCTTCTGTGTGGCCGTTTGTGACATGTTAATATTCAACGTCTTCTCCTTGGAATCCAATCATATGGCTTTTGACATCCGCGGACCACGGATGCCAAAGCATCGTGATGGAGATGGAGTCAGGCAGATAATGGGACTTTGCACTTGATAGCAGCATGAAACAGTCTTGGGATTCTTTAAGAATCTTAAGATCAACCAAATCAACCAAACATAACTGATCCAGCTCAAGGGTACCGGTAGAAAGCAGTCATGTACTGTATGTGAAAACTCATCACAATGCTTTGTACCAATTCTACACATGCTGGAGCACGCAAAACCAGAATAGAGCTTCTGTTTTGTTTTTTTTTGTCTGTGAGAGGTCATTGTAAAAAAAATGTCTCTTTCTTGTGCTTTATTTTAAATGTATTTATTTTCCTTTATTTTAAATGGAAAGTTAAATTGTCTTTCGAGCACGTCGAAGCAGTTAGAAAGAAGCCATAACTTGAAATATACCAACATAATAGACTGGGACCAAAACTACTGGCTATAGAACAGAAAAAAACTATTTTCAGAGACTTGAGGGATTTTTTATGAAGGAATTATATTGCAGTTAAAGCAATATATAGAAATATATTTACATCTATAGCAGAGAACTTAATAAACCCAGGAAGGTTATTATGATTGAGTATTATGATATTATAAATGGTTCCTCAGCCCACAGTGTGTGTTAACGGGGAATACTTTGTAAATATAAGATTTATTGACTAAAATAGATCAGATCACCAAAATCTGCCAGTAACACCGACAACATTTGATGTGTCTTACTACAGTTCTGCTTATGTTTCAATTTTGCTTAAGAATGTTTTTTGCAATTACTTGACTGTGTGCCAAAATTCGCTTGGCTGAATAATGCTGAGATGTATTATGCTTTTATTTTAGTCCAACATTTCAGGAAGCAATGTCTTAGAAATTATTGTAAGATGATGTTCTTCATGTTTTGAAGTAACTATAAGAAACATAGGATTTACCGAAGTCACACATCAAAATGTTTGTATGGAAAATAAATGAGAGAAACATTGTTGAAGTGTTCATACAGTGTTTCAGATATACTGAAGTGGATATAGAATACTGTTGAAGAATTAAAAGCGTTGATATACAACATCATCGGGATTGGTTTATTCTCTTTCGTTTGTGTGTGAGTAAATCAAAGCGAAAAGTGTGATCAAGTTAGTAATATTAAAGGAACGGTTCACCCAAAAATTAAAATTGTCATCATTTACTCAACCTTAAGTTGTTCCAAATCTGTATGAACACAAATGAAGATTTCTTTAACCAAATAGTTGCTGGTAGCCATTCACTCCCATTGTATTTTTTAATAAATGTCTTTTTACATTCAACAGAAGAAACTCATACAGGTTTGGGTGAATTGTCCCTTGAATACCAAAGTCCTCGATGGTCATTCTCACTACAGTCTGATCTCATGAGAAAACTATTTTATGCTGTGATAATTGGTGGCGAATTTGTACAGTACGATTTGATTCATAAGATTTTTAGAAAACTAGGTCCACCCCTAATACTAACTGTCAGTGAGGCATAAGCAAATTGTATAAAAAAAATTATGAATGAGATCAAACTAATTTATTTAAATTCGACACCAATATGCCAAAACATAAATTCTGATTTGCCATGAGAGTGTGTTTGTATAAAACCTTTAGGATCAGCTGTGGGGCAGGGTTTGTGCTGTAATTGACTAATCATAATTGAGTATTCCAAAGATCTCTGATATTTCCACAGCTACACACAAACAGATTTTTGTATGTTTCTATCCTTATTTTAATAATAAAACGTGTACATTTAAATTCATATATGCATTTACATATCCATCTGAATCCAGATCTTTGTCTCTGGCTAGCAGCTAAAACAATGTCAGACAAGGGACGAGTATTATTAGCTTGGTGGCACAGGCAGCATAGCTAGCATTCAGACACACACACACACACACACACACACACACACACACACATGTACTACCTCATCCATCACTTCACTGTCCTAAACTGTTGAAAGAATGAGTAAATCTATCGAACAAATCAGAGCACTTAAAAAAGAGTGATACACTGACTAGCTGTGTATTACAGTGCAACAATTGCCTTCCCTCACCTTGCAGTGAAATGCCTTTACCGGAGGAATTGCGTGGTACATTATTTATCATAGATTTATAAAGCATTGACTTATGTAAACGTTCTATTTGTGCATAGCAAAGAATATAGCTTCTTCCTTTCTGAATACATTAAGTAATTCTAAATACAACAAAACGAAATCTGTTTTATCTGTTCTTAAACAATGAGTTGCCCGGCTGAAAATAGTCTGCTTGCCCAGAACCTGACACCATCATTGTCCCTTTATATCAGCAAGAGCTTAATGGAACTTATAGTTAAAGACGCACATTAATGACTAATCACTATTAGAAAAATGTGCTTTCAAATTCAAATTCAGATATTGTTAATCTAGTAAAGAATGCAGATGGATGAATGATGTGAAAATCTGTGCTAGAGGAGAATGTAACCTATTTTACACCATAGTCAAAAATATAGACAAGACTGAATTTATGATTTTGATATTAAGGTTCATTCCCAAATGCAAACTTAGTTGACAAATAAAAATTATTTCAGTGTTTTTTTTTCTATATTTTACTCTATGAATAAATATATAGAGAGATAAATCATCTAGATGGCGGTGTGTTTGGGATTGTTGCATTCCAAAGGCAATCTTACCACAACAAGTGTGGTTCCCCAAAGCCTTGTTATACGTAGTCAGGCAAGTTAATGATAGAACGGTGTCTCACATTAGAAAAAAAAGCTGTAAAGCGATCATTGTGGCAACTGACGCGCCATAAAGGGAACAGCGCAGCTGGGGATACGAGTAATGTAACACACACACACCTGTGCCTGTCACAAACAGTGGCTTTGTCTTATTATAGCTGAACCACAGCTCTGTCCATTGACGTCCATTCTTGTCTCTGTCATGTCATATCTTCTAGTTCATTCTTTCAGAATGGAATGATCTAACAGAAAAGAAGGATGAAAACAATAGGTGTGCAAGAAAAAACTAAATATGTAAGTGAAAGCTGTCTGGAGTGAATTTATAGTTGCTGACGACATTAAAATACTGTTTATAATATAGTTAAACTGAATTTTAATTATGATAAGGTCCTGAGAACCAACATTACATCACTACATCATCGCCACATCAGACCCCAAACATGACTGTATTAGGTGAGCTATAATGAGTAAGTGGGCGGGGTTTATTAGAAACTGGGCAGGGCCTGATGCCCCAAGATATAAATGCCTTGCCACTATCCCTGGCTGAGTTTGGTCTCTCTCCACTTTACTCCCTCTCTCTCTTTCTCTGTCCATGTTCCTCGCTTGACCAGCTCCTGTTCCTAAACCACTAGCCCTCATCTACTGCACTGCCACTTTCTGTTTCTGGTACCGTAAGACCCTACTCACAGACGCCAAGATGGAAGCCGTCAAGAAGAAGATGATGATGCTCAAGCTGGATAAGGAGAATGCTCTGGACCAGGCCGAACAAGCAGAGACCGACAGGAAAGCAGCAGAAGACAGAAGCAAACAGGTGAGGCGGAGATGGAAAGGTCAAAGGTTGAGAAAACTAAAACTTATATTGACTAAATGGGACAGGTTGGAGATGCTTCATTTCAGTGCTGATGTTTAGAGAGAGCTTTTTAATTTGGGGGACCAAATGTTTAATAATTTAAGATGTGGTTTGAATGCTTAATGCACCACAGACCCACTTTTTTCCTTCTGGACCAAAACCGATCTGAATATGAGACAAAGATCTAAGTAATTTTACAATGTGTAAATTTGTTAAAGGCATAGTCCACCCAAAAATGAAAATTCCCAAACCTGTATGACCTTCGTTCTTCTGTGGGAAACAAAAGAAGATATATTGAATGTCCCATTGACTTCCTTGGTTACCAACATTCTTCAAAATATCTTCTTTTGTGTTCCACAGAGGAAAGAAAGTCATACATGAGGGGAGTAAATTATGCCAGAACTTTCGTTTTTGATTGGACTATCCGTTTAAGAATATAATGCACCTGGTCATTGCAGACAACTGTCTTAAACCCTTCTTGGAAAACAAGCACCCACCACCAAGGCTTGATATGTGAAATCTTAGATACTGAGCCCAGCACTTAGTAGCAGTTGCAAGCCTGTGATCTGCCACTGAAAGAATGCAGGGTGGATAAACAGAGTCTTAGCAAGAGATGGAGAAGGGAGTTGCAGATAGGGCTGAGGATGTGTGAAAGTTTTGGGTTGCCTGTGAGCGTATTTTTATTCACATTTAGACAAGTTGTAGCTTTGGTAAGCTGCATATCTGTGCTCATCACCTCAAGAAGGTGGGCAAAAAGACACTGGAAAGTGTTGCTTTGTGCCAGCTTGAGACAGAAGTGATGGGGACATGAGGGTATGTGTGAAGTTGTATAATAGTGGATGATTTCATACCGATAATATTTCTCTCCCCCTCTCTGTCTATCTCCTCCACTGTCATATTTCCTTTCTTTCTTTCTCCCAGCATGAGGATGAGCTGATTCAGATGCAGAAGAAACTGAAGGGCACTGAAGATGAGCTGGATAAATACTCAGAGGCCCTGAAGGACGCCCAGGAGAAACTGGAGATATCTGAGAAGAAAGCTGCAGATGTGAGTGATTGATGATCAAAAAGCACCAAATCACACACAAACACAAATGCAACACTCTAAACTTTATCCGGGGATTCTTGTTGATCCCGCCCCTCCATTCCTCTCATTCTCTCCATTCACTCCTCAACAGCTGACACTGTCGCTACCCCTCTTTTTGACTGTGATGTCAGCTAGCCAGACTAACTTCCTCACATAAATGTATTCATATTCTCATCAAAAATATCTTATATCAGTTTTTTTTTCACAATTTTTTTTAATAATCTTTTTAGAGGCAGCATAAATGCAGTGCAATAATTGGCCTAAACCTATAGTATATTAAAAACACTATATAAACAAAAACCAAACAATCAAAAAATATATTTCACTTCTGACAAAGCACATAATGTGTTTACACAATGCCATATGACCAGTCAGGTTTAATTTTCACAGTTAGCTAGGCTGTATGTGCTTGATTTACTAAAAAGAATCAACACATTAGAGTCATTCGTTTGAGAACAAATAGCTATAGCTAATAGCCTACAATGGTTTTGCTGTGTGTTGCTCATTCACTACAAAAACGGTTCAGGAGAATCATTCGTTCAGAATCAGACCACACTGCTCTGTATGTTGTCGATTCACTAAAAAAAATCAGCTCGTAAGAGTCATTTGTTCAAGAGCCGTACTACACTTGCATAGCTGCATGTTGTCGATTCACTAAAAAAAAAAAAAAAAACCAGCTCATAAGAGTCATTCGTTCAAGAATCGGACTACAATGGAAGTGCTCCATGTTGTTGATTCACTAAAAAGACCCGGCTCATTAGAGTGTTTCGTTCAGGATTCGGCTACACTGGCAGCTCGACATGCTGTCGATTCACTAAAAAGAAACAGCTCATAAGAGCGAACATAACTGAGCGAATGACACTTAATGACAGTTGTCATAAACATGCATAAAAAAACCTTCATATTCATTAGATTATGTAGGTGTCATGTCATGATTATGAAGGTGTCATGTCAGTCTTATGCACACCCCTTCAAGTAAAGTGTAACCGAGCGATTCATAAGGGAATCAGACTACAATGGTAGCGCTGCATGTTGTTGATTCACTAAAAATAACCGGTTCATGACAGTCATTTGTTTGGAAATTGCTAAACTAGTCATGTTTGTTTTGCGCTGTAAATTCAGTAGCAATGTTTTGGTGACACTAAATAAAGGTGAACTCTTTTATATTTAAAATGTGCTATTGTGTGGTATTCTGTCCACACTGGTAGACAAATTTACTTTGGAGAACCGTTAATTGAATGTCATTTAGTCCCGGCTATTTTTATTTTATTTTATTTTTAATTTTATTTTATTTTTAATAGAACCTGTTTATTCTGAATCAGAATAAGTTCTTGGTTCCCAACTTCTCCATAACTCACACATGAGGTGACAAAACGTGTGGGTGATATTCTGCATACTCTT